AGGGACCTACGCTCCTTTGATCTAGAATTAGTTATTTAGTTCCATGAAGACGCAAGAGGAAGAATGGAAAACAGAATCTTCCTGTGTACCCAGGAAGTTAGTTTGGTACAGAGAGTTTTCCCTGCCACAGAGTTCTTTTAAACTGAGGCCTAACATAAAGCCTTCTTTGGTTTTAGAAAGATTTTTGGTTGTAATTTTAACAACTGTTTTATCCCCTTCCTGTACTCTTTATTCTCTCCTTTTGGTCTTCCAACTGAATAGATTTTGACACTTCTTTTTCTATTCTCAAACATTATTCGTTTTTTTTATTCATTTTTTCTTCTATTTCTCTATTGTCTTCTATTTCTGATCCAATATTCCAGTCTAGTAATGCAACTTTGTGCATATTTTTTCTGCTATTCCATTGAATTACTTATTTCAAAAATCTCATCTCCATTTTATGAATATCTGATTGTCTTGTTGCATGTTATAAATAGGCTTCTTTTTCTGTTTAAGTATATTTTACTTTATTCTAACTTGTTTTAAATTTCATACTGTTCCTACCTTTTAGTTTTCTTTCATTAAAAGTTTTCTCTTTGTTGTCTTCTAAAATATTTCTTGTGCTACTTAAATGTCCCTTAATTTTTCTTTAGAAGCCTGCCTTTATTTCCTGGAATATTTCTGAGAAACAATGGATGGCCTAGCCTGCCATCTGTTGGGTGGGTTATTAGTGAGTTTAAGGATTTTTCCCCTACCCCAGAGTGCTTTCCAATCTCTCTACCCAGGCACTGCTCTTGTTCTCAGGTGGCAATCTTCTTCTGTATTTTTCCAGTTCAGGGAGGTTGTGGACTGGCTGCCACAATCCTTGTTTTGGCTTTGTTCATCAATAGAGCACTCAATTTTAACCTATAGCCTCCAGTTAGAGATCCAGGTTTCCTGCCTGTATTATTAATAGGATGGGCGGTGACTGGGGAATAAGGGTTTCAGAATAGTAGGTAGAAATAAGTCTGCTGCTTTTAGAAATATTAATAATAAAATTTCTTAAAATTCTGACACAGCACAGTGTAGTAAAAACATCTGGTACTGAAGAAAAGAGGAATCTATGTCTATTTTCTCATTTATTCATTCATTCACCAAGCTTTTATTCATCTATTTATTTATTTAACAGATTCTTAGGACCTATTATGGGCTAGGTACTGTTACCTTGTACTAGAAATTCAGTAAGAAATAAAACAGAGAAAAATACTGCTCATACAGTTTAGAGGTGAGAGGAAAACACATCTATGTATACTTTGTTAGGGGAGGTAAGTGTTGAAAAACAAAACAAAACATGAATATGATAGAGAATGCCAGAAGCTAGGAAGGAAAGATTTGAGCAGAGACCCGAATGAAGGGAGAATGTGAATGAGTTCACTTAGAGTCTCTACTGCATGTGCCTGTGGGCCAGGTTTGTGGTAGAGATCGAATGAGACAATGTGTTTAAAGACTCATTGCATGAAATTGAGTAGAGACTCACAAAATTGAAGCTACTAATAAGTACATTATTAATAAATACAAATTAATAATTAAAATGCTTTTTAGAATATCAACTAAGTTTCATATTATTAAAAAATGCCTTTAATTTGTTGAAAATTCCTGTAGGATTGGCAGCAAACTCAAATTACAAAACTTCTTATTCACTTTGTTTTTATATCTGAAGGTCATTAGTCATGATCTTGACTATGGACAGTAAAGTTATTTGGTTATTAAATATGGAATGTCCAATTTCCTTAAGTACTAAGTTTGACAGTTAATATCTCTGACATTTCACTTTGACACTTCTTTTTATTATTGTGAAGGTACATCCTAATTCTTTCAAATCATGTTCTGGCTTATGATTATCTTTCACATTTTTTGGGGGGGTAATTATTATAAAACCAAGTATAAGTCAAATATTCACTTTATTTTTGAGTATGAGTTCCATTGTGGAACCAAGTCAGCACCACAGATAGCTTGAATGTCAATGAAGTGTTTGAGAAGGATGTGGCTAATGAATGCACAGTATGTTGATAGTTTGAGAAATTCCATTCTGGTGACTTTAATCTTGAAAAGGAGACATGTAGGTGACCTGAGACCAAGGTGGATAATGATGAGCTGAAAGCTGCAGGGGAAGGAAATCCACCTCAACCTTATATGTGAATTAGCAGCAAGGTTTGATGTTACTATTCCAACAATATTGGCCCATTTGAAACAAATGGGTTAGGTAAAGAAGCTGGATAGATGGGTCCTACATCGATTCAACGAGCATCAGAAGAGAAATTGTCTTGAAGCTTGCCTTTTTTGCTGTCACAACATAAAGGTGAACCATTTCTACACTGTATTGTTACACGTGATGAAAAATGATTTTTTTTTTGACAATAGCAAGCATTAGGCACAATGGTTGAATAAAGATGAAGTGGCGAAACATAGCCCAAAAACGAATATTCATCAAAAAAAGCTAGTGGTGTCTATTTGGTGGTCCAGTGCTGGTATTATCCACTACAGCTTCATGAAACCTGGTCAATCGATTACAACAGATGTCTACTGCAACCAGTTGGATGAAATGATGAGGAATGCGATTAAGCAGCTGAGATTAGTCAATAGAGATAGGCCAATCCTCTTGCAAGACCACATATCAGACAAACAATGCTGCTCAAACTACAGAAGCTGAGCTTGGAAACTTTCTGTCATCTGCCATATTCACTAGACCTTGCACCAACTGACTACCACTTCTTCCAGGCTTTCGACCACTTCTTGCAAGGAAAAATTCAATTCTCAACAAACTATGGAAAATACCTTTCTGGAATTCATTGACACTCACTTTCCAGGCTGCTTTGCTGTTGGCATAAGCAAGCTACCATTATGTTGGCAAAACTGTGTTGATAGTTTAGGCACACATATTTTGATTAATTATACTGTTTCTTGTTTGAGATATAACAATCTAAACCTTTGATTTGAAATTGGACATTTCATATTTAATGACATAATAAAAGATTCCATTGGTAGGAAGTGGTGGATTTTAGGAGCCATTCAGAGAAGAGAAGGAATTAATGAAATTTACAGTGATAGGATGGATATCAAAGGCTAAATACTTTCTGGTTGTAGAGAAGAATATGGGGATATTTTTCTATTTCTTTCTTTTCAAATATGTTAAGTCAGCAGAAAATTTAGAATAACTTGGTCACATAAACATTATGACAAAGCTCTCCTATCCTTTTCAAGATTTTGGTCTGCATAAATATATAAGCATTGCTGAATGACACCCATTCCATCTTCCAACACCTCCCTAACCCTTGTCCATGTGGGAATTGCACATCTCATTGCTTTATAGTTACATTTGATCAAACATGAGATTAATTATCTGGCTTAATCTCTCTTGAACATCAGAGCTGGTTTGAATAAATTAACTGCTTTGTAAGTCTGTCAGCTTTAACAGTTAAAGATTTTTCATCAAAGAAGAAATTCAAAAGTTTGGACCATCCCATCTAACAGCACTTTCCAGAGAAGTGTCCAAAATGTTTTGAGTGGCTGCAACAATGCAATAAATAAACAATTGTTCAACTCTGTTATTTTTAAAGGAAATGGAACTCCTTTTGATAAGTGATCTCAAATTTTTAGTATACCGAAGGCAATTTTACCTGAACTGTTATATATATAAAATATAAAACATATTTTTCTTGTTGAAATTTGGTGGAGAGGGATGGTAATAGCCCATATGTCATCTCTTAGCTTGCCGAGGCTACCTGTCAGGCATCTATGGAATATCATTTGAAAACCACTGATTTAGATACCTGAATTCTCCCATTGTGAATTGTAGATAAAGAAGAAAAGATGGATGTGGTCTCTACTGATTCTTTCTCTATAACATGAGTTTGCCATGCCTGGAGTGTGTTTTCTTCTATTACAAATTTTGAATGAGGAGAAAAAAGAGGACTATATAGCTAATATAATGAAGCATTCCACTAACATGTGTAGCTTCCTAGCCATTCAACAGTATCCACTGAGCATTAGATTAACCTGACGTGTTGGAGTGGGTAGGAATTGAAAAACAACCATCCCCTCTCTGTACTACACACTTGCCTAGGCATAAAAATTTTGCAATATTGAGTTATTTTACTTATGCATAATTAGTTGCGTCCACATGTCCCTATCATAATTTATTCAACAACTATATTTTTAAAAATCTGCTACACACCAAGACCAGTATGAGGGCCTGAGTATTAAAAAAAAAAAAAAAAGGAAAAGAAAAAAACAGATAAGCTTTTTAGGCATTTGGCACTTAGAGAAATTACACAACTTATTTTATGTTGAAATATTTACAATTATAAAGGAAAAGTACCTTTTGGCAGAGAAAGTCATTATTTTCAAGTTGACTAGAATTATTAGAAAAAGTGCTGTTACAACATCATTGAAATAATGATCTTCATTGTTTTAACCATATTTTTAACATGTGGATAGTTTTTACTTTGAAATTTCAGACTGTTGGCAGTAAGAGAATTAACTGCTCAAACAAACAAATATTCTCTGTTATTTATTGATGTCCTCCATCTGTCTCTTAATGCTGGCTAGTAGTCTTAACTACGAAAGGGAAAATTAGGTTGATGTCAGAGAGACTGTGTTTGAGAAGTGGCCTGAGAAATTTAGGACAGGCTGGAAATTGTCTTCACTAGTTAAACTAAGTAAAATTCAGCCTTCCCAGTTACATATTTGCTGGGTGAGACGAGCTATTTGTGGGAAGCAGTTATGTCCTCCATATCACCAGTAGCATGGTAAATAAATAATTGGTATTCAATACTTTATTCACTATCTAATGGTTTGAAACCATAGACTATTGGTCATGAAGATCTTACTAAGAGGGTACTATTCTAAAAAGCATAGCTTGGGGGTCATTAAGTTCTACAACTTTCACTGTTCAAAAACAGACATTATGCAAAGGCATTCTGTACAATTTATTTCCTGAATGTTTGCCAAAAAATATGATTTTCCTCTAATTCAAACACTACCTGCTCCAGTGAATGACAGTTCATAGCTGTTTTCTTTGCCATGCTTGCACCCAAATTTTCAGGAGGACACACCATTGCCCGTAGACTTGGTTCAAAATTTTGTTAAGGATATTGTGATTTATTAGCCAGGATGACTCATATGATACCATCTCTTAAAAGATGACTCAGTGGTATTTAAGGAAATTCTGTCATGTTAACTGGAAAAAAAACTTATTAGTAAGATTATTACTACTTTGGATGGTTTTATGACATTAGTCAACAATAACTGTTATCTGTGACCTAGTCTTATATTTGCCCTGGTGCTTTGTACTTTAAGTGGTGGTTGCAAATGCAATAATACTTTATTAGCTCAGACCTTGCTAATTTTAGATTTGGGACAATTTCCAAAAGGAATTTGCTGAAGTTTACTTATTCTTATCACTCAGAGAAATAGATTGCTGAACAAAATAACAGTTTTAGTAAGATTTTTGGTGTGATTTTGATTGAGAAAGTAAATATATTGATGCTTAAAACATTTGTCAGGCTGAAAAGTGCTATTATCAGATCATTATCTGCACCTTTTCAATAATTGGCTGTGTGATCTTAATTTCCTTATCTGTAAAACAGTGATAATAATGGTACCTATTTTTTGGTATTTCAACTCCTTCATCTACTAAATGGTGGTACTGGTGGAGCCTGCATTATAGAATTGTGTGTGATAAGGGGTGAATATGCATAAAGTGCTTAAGTTGTACTTAGAATATTTTATCTGTTTTTTTTTTTTAAATAATGATTAGCAATGTGCTTATTATTCTTTGTTAGTAAAATAAAATATTTTGGGGCCTTGTTTCACGATTAGAGAAAATTTTTTGTGTAGATCTCCATTCATTATGATAATTTAAATCGGATTTATGTATTTGACAGTGACAAAAAAATAAATGTTCTAAAGTATACATTTGACGCATGTAGATGTTCATGGATTAGTGAAATTTCCCCCATTGTTCTAGTTCTTATGCTAAGAATCTGAATTGCACTTACAAATTATGCCAAACATTATTATTGTATACTGTGGCACCAATCTTATGCAGGAAAGAACATAAGAATGAAGGCTGGATAACTATTTTTTCCTGATTATTTTTCTGACTTCCTAACCCCTTTTTTCTCAGTGTCCTTATCCTTAACTTTGGTAATAAAAGCTATCTGAAATATTTTGTGGGGTTGATTTAAGATTAACTGTTGTACTTGTTTTGGGCAAATGTTTTGGCTTAACCAGCATATCTTCCTCCTCCTGATATCAGCACCTGAGTTTTTCCTTTGGGCCTAACACCTTAACGGTGAGATGCTGTTGTGATGCCAATTGTCAAAAAACATGGCCCACCAATGTGTAGTAAATTTTAAGAAATGTATCCCTGGAATTATCTGGAATTGTAAAATTGAACTGAGACACAAAGACCAAAACTTACAGAAATTATTTTATCACCAAGGGAAGCATCTGAAGAGAAGCTATTAGTAGTTCCCATTATCCAGACCACTGGAACCGCTTGTGTTCTTTTTCTTTATGTGATCTAGTTCTTTGGCTCTTCCTTTGTTTCTGTGAACTATGTCATAGTCTTCCAATAAATTACTTAAAAAAAAAATTCAGGCAAAGTCACTTTCTGTTGCTTGTAACTGAAATCTCTAACTGGTATCGTGTCTACAGACAGGTTGTATGTTGTTATGAAGGGTCTGGGAATTTATTGAATTTAGCCTTGTGAAAGTCACTGAGCTGGTTAGACCTGAGAGATTATGCTGAAAATTAGAAGTAATTCAGTTTCTTGGTTTTGTAACTTCATTCTAGCTCTAATACTGAAAATGTTTGTGGGATAAAATAGAATATTAAATATGAAAGTGCTTTGTATAAGCTAAAAGTATTTGTATACATGAGATATCCTACCAGGTTCACATCAATGATTAAAGTACTTTCTTACTCTATGTTGTCAGATCAACACAGCACAGAGGAAATATGTTTGAGGAAATGGTCAAACACATGGTAAGAGAATATGGTTACATCAGGGTAAATGAACAAGATGGCTAACTTTTTCTTCTTGAGGGGGGGAAAGAACATCAGGAAACATTATTAACAGGAGCAAATAAAATATTCCTCCTTCTGATATATTTTTTTTCCTTTCTCTAGTCTCCTACATAAACTTTAGAAAAGTAGCGAGGACAACTACTCATTAGCTGTCAATTCAGAGCAGTACAAATATAGGAAACCATCTTGAGCTGCCCATACTATTGGCCCCCAAACCTTCTAATCCCATCAAATTGTTGATAAAAAGCATCATTAATCTGGTCTGTCAGTCTTGGAATTGACAGCTATTGATATCTGTGATGAGAGAAGAAATTGTTCCTTTTTAGGGAATGCGTTGTTACTTCTAGTTTTCAAATGAGACAGATTTATTCTACTACTTTGTTCCAATATTGTTTCAGAAATAAATTATTCCAAGAGTGGGGGTGAGACAAGGAGGCACAATCATGTGTATGGCCTTTTATTAAGATGCACTTCAAAAAAAATTCTAAAGATTTTTAAAAGGGAAGTATCTTAAAATTGGGGGTGATATTCACCAAAGCTGTTATTAATGGTATATGTAATCTAATAATCAATGCAGTCTCTGTACCCAGGAAATATGGGATAGAAATGTATATATAGAGATAGAGATAAAGATATAACAGTAAAGCTAGAAAATATATGCAATATACCCATATACACAGGGCAAACTAGTAAGTTGGCACATGCTTTTGGAAATGGAAAATTAGAATTTCTATGAAGTAGAACAAAACTTCCAAAAATAGTTAGAGTTAATGGAAGGTCTACATCAATGAATTCTGCTGAGTTCATTTGAGGTTCTATCTTAAAAGTAAAGTCATAGTTTTCAGAATTTATGATATCTTGAATAATATTATATCAAGGGTTCAGTAGGTATTCAATTACCTAAGCTGATGATGATGTCTTAGTCACATTTGAGGTTAGTCACATTACCTGTAGTTTGGAAATGGAGATATCATCATCCTTCATTTTCACTGAAGGACAGAATACATTGGATAGTTACCGAAGCATTATTCATCTTACGTTGGAATTAGTCCAAAACAGGTGCATCTTATGCTATATATTTTATAACTAAAGTAACAAGATGACCTAATTAATCTTAAGGCAATATTATCTATAGGTTAGCCCCATAGTAAAATTATGGAGAGGAAAATTTTAACAGAGAATTAACATTTTGCAATAAGTGTATTTATTCATGCTTATTTAAATACTATTTTTGATTAAATTGTGCATTTTGAGAAAATGTTTTTGGTGAACATAGTTTTGGAATACTTTCCTACTTAGAAACTCTTATATTCTACCTTATCCTGCCCTATTTTGCCTTGTCCCTCCCAATCTGCTTGAGTTGAATTTAAAAAGGGAAATTCATTCTGAATCTGCAGCCCTGGAAGATATCAGAAGATATCAGCCCTGATTCACTAAGAATCATAGAAAATGATGGTGTACATGTATAAAAAAATTGTTATGTTTTAGAAGAATGCCAAAAGGCTCCTCTCACTGGCTTAATTTTAGTGACAGCAGAGTTAAAGGGCTGCTTGTGGTCTTAGCTCTCTTCTTCCCCTCAAGGAATCTTTGGAAGGCTCCCGGATGCCTGTTCTTAAGGCAGGTCTTAGATCATCAGATCAAGAATTATAAGAACAGTGACTAATTCTTTCATATCCTGAAATCATTCATTAGTGATCTGCAATTCTTATAAACAACTAGAAGATATTAGAACTACAAAAAGACCACAATAAAAGTACACAAAAATTCCCAGTCAGATTTTTTTTTCCTGTACTTGACATCTTATTTAACACAAAGATGCACATCTGAACAAAAAGAGCTCCTATCTGGTATTTAGAAATAACCACATGAAGATAAAACTCATCAAGTCAACATTGTCCAAGAAAAGATCTAGGGTCAGCAATAAAAAGTTCAGCTTAAATTTATAAACTCAAAATTCATATTACAGGACCATAAAAAAGTATCCATTAGGAAGGTATGCTGCCATATCAGAAATAATGAAAGGAAAATGTTAAATAATGTTAAATGTTAAATAATATTCAGTCTAATTTTTCTAATAACACAAATAAGGAAGTAAATATTAATAAATTTTAGAAAGATTTGATAGGGTTAAAACAACATGAATATTCTGATTAACTTTTAGTTAACTGAATTGCCTTCGTTGATGAGCATTTTAGGTTTTAGATTGTGATTTAAGAATTTATTTAAATGTTAGTGTAAGAGGAAGTGTTGAAGTAGAACAAAAGTAGAAATTTCAGCAAGACAATTTAAAATCTCAGTTCTCTTTCTTAGTTATCAAGTGATTCTGAACAAGTCATCTCCTGTCTCTGGGTCTCCATTTTCTTGTCTATAAAATGAGGGATTTACACTAGAAGTTACTTCCAACTTTTAAAATTATGATTGTAGAGCACTTTCAACATCATGTTTTTTTCTTGTGTTAAAAAAACTCTCTGCTTTACAGACTATCATTAGTGAGAATAGGCATGAGGGAGCCCTCAGTTTTTGGCAACTAGAGAAATGCTGTTGTGTCAAAAATGTAGCATAAATGTTCTTGTCAATAGTTTAAAATAGCAATACTCTGGAAAAGATGTTGTATTTTCTATACTTTAAACACATTAAGCTTTTACTTCCTATTACCAAAAAAATTTAATACTTTGTAAATGAAACAATGTTAAAATAACTGAAAAATTTCAGTATTCATTTAGCCAACAGAACTCAGATTTTATGTACAAAAATAGCTTTTCTCCAACTGTTTCCCTTGTGAGATTGAACCTTCTTACTTTCATACATTTCTGAATGCAATCAATTGCAAATCCTGAAACCAAGGGGCAGAATACTTTACCTAGGGAAATTTCAATATGTAAAATGTAAGACAAAAAGTATTATCTTTAGTCTTATATAAAAGACAATGAAACCACCTTAGAAAGCTTGAGAGTGAGAAATGAGCTTGGGGAAAGAAAATACCAAGTGTGTTAGCTGTGACGAGTCTATCCAAGAGGCTGACTGT